AGGTTGCACTCATGTTTCGCATGCCGTAGCTGTTGAACTGTTGAGAACGTGCCCTCGGGAAGACTAGCCCGGGAGTTGCGAGAGGTTGAAAGCGAAATATTAAGATTATGTCATGATCTCGGATTCCACCAGCAGTAGCTCATCTCTACAGGAGCTGATCAGGGAGCAGTCCCTAAGGCAGCGTCTTGCTAAGGGGTCATCTTAGTTGCCTCGGCGAGCGGGAATAACTCCAAAAACAGGGGATCACAGCAGTCACCCTAATTTATTGGGTTCCAATACAGCCAGAGCCCGCACTTGCGACAATCATGCTCAAAATTTGCATTGCCCAAGAACTTGAGCATCATTTGCGAGCCCGGTCAAGAACCCCTCCACACCAACCGATCTAGCGGCCACTGCTTGCCTAACCCTCAACCGGAAGAAGGAACCCCAGTCTCACGCAAAAACCAGAGGTTCTCATGCTCAAGTGCCGGCGCCCACTACTTGTATCAACTGGTGTGAGTGGCGGAGCTCTCAAAGTTCCGGTCGACCACGACCGTTTCAGCGATCTACGGTGCGAGTCGGATTCTGAGACAGCGATAATCTATCAAACCTCCCCACGTGTGCCTGCTATGGACGGCGGCAAGTTCAAGACGCTAGCAGGAGCGGTGGCTTTGACTGCAGGCAGCACATGGAAGCAAAACAACTGCCGGGTGGGTGTGGTACGCAACTGAGAGATATGTGCATACTGCTGTCCTGCTGTATAACGCCGCCTGTGTGCATGTACGGGGAAAGCGGGAATCTCGTTGCGCATGCTACGTGTGCATACAGCTTTCAAAAATGATCGCTTTTGTCACGGGAAAGGCATTCATCACGAAGGTTGGCACCGCAGAGGGGGGCTGTGGACGCCTTTTGATGTGAACGATCCCATGTGGGTACGCATCCACAACGTACGTAAAAATTGGGTGCTTGTTGACGGACGCATCGTGTCGCAACATGGGCGCCGCTCCCTGCTGCGTGTATGCAAAGTCTACTCTGTGAGATAGACCTCTCGGTAGCAAAAAAGGTACGCCGCAAATCGAACACTGACTTACGACTCCCTGCTGCGGTCGGCCAAAACGCTGATGGGTGTACCTTCTACGAAAGGATGCGTCTGCCAAGAGAGTGGGTCGTGCGTCGTGCCACAGATGAATTGCTCAAGCGCGCAACAAGACAGCCAGACGGCATCCATTTTTTTTTTTCTTAACATCACACAACAAGTCCATCTCTATCTATAGAAATAAGTCTAAGATAGATTAGCAATGAATCCATAGCGTGAGCGAAAGGCTACCTGTATGTCTACGGTTTTCAAATATTGTCGGCCGACGTTGACTGGTTGTCGTGACGTCGGTTAGAACTGTGCTTTTGGTACGACCCCAGTGTATTGCGATGGTCTCACGCTGTACATTTCGGGTTCGGGCTGCCACAGCCGCAGTCAACGCATCCAAGGCTCGCGGTTGATGTCAACAGGTGCAGTCGGCGCTGAACCATGCGTTAGAGCGGCTCCGTAGGCACAACTACAGCTGCTCGTTGGGTGCGCTGCATGTCGTCAGAATGCGGCGAACGATGGCAAATGGCGCACGGCCGTAAGGGTTCCTTCCGACAGACGCGAGAACCCAAAGAGGCGTGCATTTAGGAACAAACGTTTTTCCATCAGTCACTCTCGTGCACACGAGGCTCACTTGGTGTGCTGCTCGAGCTGCTCCTCCTCGACAGGCTTAGCCTCCTCGAGAGGGACTTCCTTATCTTGCCCATCTTTCCCTTGCTGTTGGTGCCGCTGCTGCTGCTGCTGCCAACAGGGCCGCTCCCGCCCGCTGCTGCGTAGCTGTCATTGCCGCCGCCGCCACCGCCGCTGCCTGCTACCCCACCATCCCCCGCCGCGCTTGCGCCGGAATTACGCCGCATTCCCGCGCAACCCTAGAGCAAATAGCGAAATCCGATGCGCCCCTTGGGCGTGCGCAGTGACACAGAGAGACAGGACGTAGAGATTTGAGGCGGGCGGACAGCCAGATGGGCAGCAAACGCCATTCCCAATTTTTTACATAGGAGGTGGCTCCGCAAATAGAACCACGTGTCTACCCCTCCCTCCACTTCGTATGACCCCCTCAAGCAAAAATGGCAACAAAACAGGGACACACGAACAGGGGAGCTTCGAACGGGATTGGTGTGTGCGCAAGAGAGAAGCTCCGTGACAAATCTCAACGCTCCGTGGTGTGACTCTTTCTGTTTCCTCCTCATCGGAGGTGAGAACTGCGGCAAATGTCGTTGTTGGCGCGAGTGTTGCCGTGTCGTTTTCGAAGAGATGCGAGACAGACACACCAAGATTTGTTTGGCACACCTTTTGTTGCCTGCTGCGATTGGGAAAGGAGGGCGCGATCTCACAGGTCGCGCGTTTCTCCCCAGCTTTTGGACATGCGCTCAATGCAAACCATCCCCACCCTAACAGATAGAAGCTCTAGACGGTCGTTTGGTGGTGGGGAATACCGTGGACAGACCGGGTCATCATGCGAAATGGTTTTTTTGACACGTGCATGCTACTCATCAGAGAGGGAGAGACAGCAGCTGCTTCCGCTCCTCCGCAGAAGTGTTCGAGAGCCAGCCGCCTCTCTCTCTGCTGCGTGCTGCTTGCGCTTGGGGGCAACCTAGATACACGTGTGTCGTGGGCTGCAGAATCAGCCCATTAAGCGGAAGTGTTGTGCGTTGGTTCAATCTGGAAGAACGGGCGGCGGGCGAGCCGCATGTCGCAAATGTATGAAGGTTGGGGAAATTTGCTTTCCGGCAGGATGTTCAACATACATCCATCTACTGCCCACGCCTTCGGTTTGGGGGGACGCCAGGCATCCAACACTGTATTGTTTAGCATGCCCGTGTGGATGCCGACCACGAGGCAACCGCGCGTGGGCCCCCCGGTCGGCATATCGCGCAGCTGACGCCCTGTCCCATGAGTCGTCGGTTGAACTTTGTTTCTTCTATTTTGTAGTATAGCCGGAAAAGTAGCTCCGCCTCCCGGCCCCCTCTGAAGAAAGCTAACGGTCTAACGGTCAATTGTTGATTTATTGCGAGAGGCGTCTCATGTACCCAGATACCCAGATCCCACGTGTAGATGGGTGATGTCAGGAGCGAGTAAGAGCTATGTCGGCGTAGTTGGGATAGAAGCTTTATTTTATCTCCGCCTACCGCAGGACGGAAGCACCTGTCTAGAACCTACATGTAGTCATCCGCCTACCTGTTGATATTACCTAGTGTACCGCAGTGCAGTTCGCGCTGGCTCTATCAGCGCGCAAGGTGGTACGTGCGCACGTGCCGGTGCTTGTGACGCCATGATGTTGCATCGCCATGGCCCTTACATTGTCCCCCATTCTCAACAGCAAGGCAGTCACAGATACTGCAGCATGCGTTCCCTGCTGCTGACCCTCTGGTGCGTTTCTATAAGCCTAGGACAGACCTTCATCTTCGGATGTAATATACTACCATGGTATAGTAGTAGCTGGTGACGTTCTGGCACACCCAGGGGCTCGCCATGCTCTTAACGCATGCTCTATCTCGGTTCGCGATTGTCCACCAACGGTGGAATTATTCGCTGCCAGCAGTCACACACACAGCCCTGTTCGCCATCAGCAATACCGTGCTGTCTCAGTTTCATTTTTCTCGTTCGACCCCCTGCCCCCCCGGCACCGTTGTCTCTTATCATGCCCGTCACGCAAAAGCCCAAATTCTACGCCTGGCCCAAACATGGAAGACCCTGCATTGACGGCGCAAGAACCACCAGCGCCTGAAGCCCCTCCGCCGCCGGCCAGCGGCGAGACTGCGCCGTTCTCGACCTTGCACCCGCCGACCCCCGCCAACCCAGTCCCGGCCCTCAAGGAGGCTGCGTCGGCGCCGGCCAGTATGAGTGAGGCGACCACGGCTGTGGAGAGCATTAGCAAGCCTGCTGCTGCTGCTGTGGAAACCCCTTCCGTGGAAAAGCCTACTGCGGAAACACCTGTTGCGGAAAAGCCTGCTGCGGAAACCCCTTCCGGGGAAAAGCCTGCTGCGGAAACCCCTTCCGTGGAAAAGCCTGCTGCGGAAACCCCTGCTGCTGCGGAAACACCTGCTGCGGAAAAGCCTGCTGCGGAAACACCTTCCGCGGAAAAGCCTGCTGCGGAAACCCCTGCTGCGGAAAAACCTGCTGCCGAAATTCCTTCTGTGGAAAAGCCTGCTGCGGAAACCCCTGCTGCAGCAGGTGCAGCAGAAAACGGGCAAGACGCTGCGGCAGCACAGAAGCAACAGGAGAGCGAGGGGGGTGCAGGAGAGGAGGGCGACGGCGTAGAGAACGGAGGGAAGGAAGAAGAGGAGGAGAAAGAGAAGGTGGATGACATGGAGGTCCAGGAAGAAGAGAAGGTGGATGAAACGAAGGTTCAGGAAGAGAAGGTGGATGACACGAAGGTCCAGGAAGTGGAGAAAGTGGAGAAAGTAGATGAAATGAAGGTCCAGGAAGAGGTTGAAGAGGAGGAGGAAGAGGAGGAGGAGGAAGTAGAAGAGAAAAAAAAGGACGAAGGGATCACGGCAGCCGACAAGAAAGAGGAGGAAGAAGAAGAAGAAGAAGAAGAAGAAGAAGAAGATGACGGAGACGGAGACGAAAATCACCAAGAGGAGGAAGAAGAAGACGAGCAGGAGGAAAGCGAGGACGAGGAGCAAGAAGAAGAGGCGAAGAAGGAGGCGAAGAAGGGAGTCAAGAGCTCTACCAAGGGGAACAAGGCGAAGGAGGCGGCAAAGACGCCGGCGTCTCCTTCCAGCGGACGCAGGAGGAAGTCCATCGAAAGGCTCGGCGACAACTATGCGGTAAGATCAGATCAACCCTTGCTGCCGCGATAAGGTACAGTAGTACGGATGTATTTGTGGCTCCGACAACCGGGGTTGGCTCTCTGCAGGCAGGTTCTGTGCGGAGTGTGGGCAAGCGTGTCGAGTGAGATCGTAGCATGTTTTTTTTTTTCAAGACTAGGAAGGCGGAAGAAAGGCCAACACCAGCAATCTTTTACGCGAGCGTATGTTCTTACGGCAAGATTGTTAAGCTTATCCCTGTTACAGTAAGAAGCCGGAATTTCATGACTCTCGGGATCTTCAGTGTCATGGCTCGTTCTGTATTCCTTGATGATGTCTACAGGTAACGGAGGACAAGAAGTCGGTGGAGATCGCTAAGGGCGCGGGCTCGGCTCTCGAGGACATCCCCAACGTGGCCGAGAAGCTGGGGCGCTTGACGAGGAATTCGCACATGATCGGGCTGCTGCACAATCTTCTCTTCGGAGGGAAGATGAAGGTAAGGCGCCCCAATAGATACAACAGCAGTAGCCTTACCGGCCTCTTTTGGCACCCCTATCATTCTGTGGACATGCTTGTACCGTGTTTCGCCTTGTCCAGAACGTGGAGCGAAAGGGTTGGCGTTAGGGCTGGGGCCTAGGCGCCCGGGGGGGGGGGGGCAGCATGTGTGTTGAAAGCAAAAGCTACTACGCTGATGTTTCGTGGAAGCCCGTGCACTGCTGCTCTAGCTCGCTGTTCTGTCGGCTGTTGCCAAAGGCACGGGTTGCGATCTGGGGCATATTATTAGGAGAAGCACATTGTTGGTCTGCTGCACACACAGCTTGTACCTAACCTCTCTGTTTAAGGGTTGACGGGTGTCATCGGCGAAGGCACCCGGGGTTATGGAACCAAGGAAAACTCGAAGCTGCGCGCTTGTATCTACTATGCATGCGTTCGAGTTTTCAGCATGCCATTGTGTGTGTGCGTGTGTGTTTGTTTGTTGTGCCACCACAATTACGGGCGCAAAAATGTTTTCATGTACATTGCTGCATATTTTGCTCGTAGATACCTTTTTTTTTTATGTGATTGACCACTCCCCGTCGCCTTTGTTTCTGTTCTTTTACGCCACAGAAAACAGAGCTGAAGGCACAGCTTCTGCAGTTCTCGGGTATCCCAGATGACGAAGCTCTGGACAAGGTATGCATGTACGCCCCCCTCCCCCCCGCGCCCGCGTGATAAGGTTCACGCTGTGGCGCCCCCCGAAAATCTGTGCTAGCGTCGTCTGAATGTGAATGTCTTGTCTAGGTGCCCGTACCTTTTTTGGGTTTTCTTTTCGTTTCGTGTACCCTTTTTTGGGTAGTTGGTCGGTGACCCGGGGAGGTGTCCGCGTCAGTTGGACCAGTAGGCATGCAGGCCTGTACTGAGTGAACGCCGGAATGGGTTTCAATGGGCAGATAACAACACTGCCGTGCGCCAACAGGATCACTGGAATGGCACCCACCTTGGCGCGAGGGCATTAAAAGTGCTGGTGTTTAACTAGCGCTGTGGCTGCTGCAGCTGCCACCACTGGACACTACTCTGCAATTTCGCCGGCTCTGCAGGCCCCTACCGAAAAGAACCGACATGGCTGTAGTTCCGCGCCTACCGCGTCCTTCCCCCCCGCTGTGGCTGTGTACTTGTAGCAACGTGTTTTTTTGCACTCCCGCACTACGCTGCTGCGGCAGGTGGCCTCCCGACTGGACAGCAAGAAGTGGCCGGTCCCCATGGTGAAGGAAGCCATGGACCTACTCGAGGTGAATGTTGACGCCGGACACTCGTTTTCTATTCCAATGGATTCTGGTGTACGTCACGACGATGGTTGAGCCGCGTTCTTGACGCGCGGTCTGATGCCGCTGGCTGGCTGCTCTTGATCTTTGAAGCCATGGCTTCGACATCCTGATTTTTGTTTTGTTTTGTTTGAGAGGGCGTGCGTTATCTACGCGGCATATAGGGGCGGGCCGCGGAGTGGCGATGGTGCTTCTCAAGCGCTCCTTGTGCTCCAAGGCGGGCGCGGGAGTTGAGGGGGTGGGGGGTGTACTCATAGTCGTGCATGCCGTAGTCGTTAGACCATTGACCTCGCATCCCTACAAAGCCGGGACGGAGCACGCCGNAGTGTAAGCACTGTGTAACTGCCTCGAGGGTGCTTGACCCTTTGAACACAACGTGGTGCGATCATTCCCCTTGCGCGGAGTGAGGGTTCTCGACCCCACACAACATTATCTACTCTACCACCATTATGGTTACCGCCAAAAACAAAAGAGGTAGAAAAAAATATCGTTAACCTGGTTGCTGAATTCACGATGTGAATTGTCTTGTTTTACAACGTCGTTGCCAAGCGACGGAAACCCAACCCCGATGGCAAACACCGGAGGGGGGGCTGGGGGGGGTTACTTTCTGCCGGGGACCACGCTTCTGAAGACAATGATTTCCTTAAACAGGGATTGCCCTTTGTGCTGATGTCCTTAAAACCTGGGACGACTCTGTAGAGGTGGTTTTGTGTGCTGCAAGAGATCAAGGCAGGGATTTGGCCAAAGACGTTCGCTGCATGTCTACCGCCTGCTTGTCTTACCCGTTCTGTCCAACCCCTTGTGTGTGTGTGTGTGCTTTTTCTAAAGGTGCCGCGCAGCTCGACATCTTTCGAGGAGGGGAAGAACCCAGATAGGGCCATGCTTACGGCGCGACTGCTCGAGTGGCTTCAGAAGCCGGTCGCGTCTGCTATGCAGGTATTTATGTGTGTTGGTTGCTGTGTCGTCTGTTGTCATGCTTGGCTTGGCTGGCTGCAGGATCGAGGTGGCGGTTTGTGACTATCGCCGTTGCTCGTGGGAGTGTCGGTGGCAGTTGCTGCCTTCTGTGGCGAGAGGGTCAGCGTCATTTTTTGGACCGTGTGATCGCGTGCATGGAGAGTGTTGTTGGTAGTCCTCGTCAAGAATGAACCGCTTTGGGGTGTCAGTTCCAGGAGGACCGTAAGGATCGACTACGACACCTGCTGTTTCTGCTTGTTGGACTACTTGTGTCTGGACACACGTTCTACGATGCTTCTTGCTCTTTGTTTAGCAGGGCGCAATCCGGAAGTAGCAGCAGTTTTGTCTAACGATGTCAGTGGCCATTGCATGTTCAACAGCAGGCTTGACGCCCCCACACGTGAAGCCATCAGGATCAAACCCCGCCGCGCCCCTCGTCCCCCCGCCTCCGATTTTCACATCACCGGCACCGTAAATGCAGCCCCCTGGGTCCAAGAATAAGGCTGCCAAAGCCAAGAAGGCCGCCACTCCCGCAAAGGTTAGCACATGTTGCTCTGTCTCCCCCGTGGGTGCCAATAGCGAAGTGTACAAGCGGGGGGAGGTAAAGGTCTCGCATGACCTCTTCTCCTCATCTGTATATCTGGAGGATACTGCCTTCGCTCGTGCGTGTTTTATTTTTCATGTGGTTGCTTCGTTCCCCCCCTGCGCACTTGTCATGGGGGAGGTCTCGTTTGGCTTCTTCTCCCGATTTGTGTTTTTGGACGATATTGCCTTCGCGTGTGCGTTACCGCGTGCGTGTTTTAGGTGCCAGGTTGTCCGGGCGTGCGGGCCCTCTTTTTTTGTTTTGTGTCTCTAAATCAACATGAATAACGGATGTTATCGACAGCTATCCCACAACCCACCTTGAGACAGCCCAGAACCAAATCGCCGTACTGCCAAGACCCAACGCTCTAGGCGGCAGCCCATACGCGCCCCGGTCTGCTGCTGCCATTACAGCACGTGCTGAATCGGACGCCCCCCTTGCGTCCTCTCGAGGATGACGCATGGTCAATGGTCTAATAGCAAAACATGAGTACCCCCCCCCCCCCCCCCCCCCCCCCCCCCCCCCCCCCCCCCCCCCCCCCCCCCCCCCCCCCCCCCCCCCCCCCNGACGTATGTGGCAGAAACGAGCCAAGACTACGGCGAAGGGCCCCGCGCCGAAGCCGAAGGCCTCCGCCAAGAAGTCTCCCGCCAAAAAAACGCCTGCCACAAAAACGCCTGCCAAAAAAACGCCTGCTAAGAAATCTCCCGTCAAGAAATCTCCCGCTTCAAAGACGAAAACGGCGACAAAGGCAGGCGCTGCTGCGAAGAAGAAGTCGCCGCTCGTCACCAAGAAGAAGCCGGCTGCTGCTGCTGCTGCTGCTGCTGCTGCTGCCGCCAGCCCCAAGAAGAAGAAGAGCAGCCCCGCAGCCAAGCCGAAGGCTCCCAAGCGCAAGAAACGTGAGACCCCCCCCCGATGAAATATATGAAGTCACTCGCAGCTGTCATCCGTATGCAAGGAAGTAAGCGCAAGAAACGTGAGAAAAGTCCCTCTCCGACTGTGGGATCAATGCTCCATCCTCTCGAGGAGGACGCGTGGTCAAAGTTGTAACACGTAAGGCATGCACAACATGAGGACCCCCCCCCCCCCCCCCCCCCCCCCCCCCCCCCCCCCCCCCCCCCCCCCC